GGTCTATGGTAACTCTATACTATGCAAATTTTCTTTAAATATAAAACTGTTCTAAAAAAGTGAAATTATAAATAATTATAATTTGTATATTGATATTAAAATTATATGAGTTGATTGATAATGATATCAATATTTACTGATTTACATTGAAATGAAAACAGGAATATTTCACATAGCAATGCAAACATTTTTATTGAAAATAATACATTTGCACATGTAATCTAGGGATGGAGTTGTGGAGGAGGGGGTGGTGTGGGCAGGACTGAGGAAGTGTAATGAGTTGATCCATGTGTATTAAGCCTGAGATCCCTTGTGTATTAGCTCACCTTGCAGTCTTTAGGCAAAGGCATAAAATCCCTGTTCCATGACATCCATTACTCAGAGTCCTCTTGAAACCCAACTCCATTTGAGGGAGGTGAGTGACTATTTTATCACTGTGGAATGAAGTTCCAGGAGGAAGACTAGGAGTTATGGAGTTGTGGGTCATAAGAGATGGTTGTCTGGAGTTTAGTGGGTAGAGTGGGAGTGACAACAGCAGTTATGTGCTGGAGCCAGCTCATACCACTTTGTGAGAGTCAATTGTGTACATTCCTTCCAACTCTACATACAGGGACAGCATGCTGATACTTTGAAAGTGGAGAAGACAGGAGCGTTTTCACCTAAGAAATTGCTAAACACTGTTCCTTCCTTCCTTCCTTTCTTCCTTCCAGCTGTTTCATCAACACACAACTGGACCAGAGTCACAAATATAAACTGTCTCAGTAGAATGGAAAGCTATGTCTGTGTTGAGAGTTGGGAGACTCTGGGTAGGAGGATCCTCTTAGCTTTCAGTGTGCCAAGGAGCACTGAACCCCTCCAGAGAAGGGTCAATGTTGGCACCAGATCTGGATTGCTGTAAACATTTGAGGCATTTGAAGGGGCTCATTTGTGTCTCCTATCATGATCCTTTATACCTCCCATGCAATAAGTTGTTACTATTGAGGAATTAACATTGTGCTTTACTGTTCTTGATTATGGGAATGCATAAAATAAAAGAAAGGCCATTCTCAGACCTCAGAAAGGACATGATAAATTGGGGAACAATGACAGATAATGAGATGTACTCATATTTATGAGTTAGATGCTCAGATGATTATACCCCTTGTGAAAGGAAAGGTAAAGGAGTAATCTGTGGGATGTCTCAGTCAGGCATATTCCTGACATGTGCGTAGACTGTGAGCGTGCCCTGGGCTGGGGCAGTTAGCTGAACAGCACAAATCAGGGAGACAGAGACAACTTCTCCAGGAGGCTGAAGGTGCCTGGATCAAGGCTGCAGAAATTTTCCTGATGCACTCAAGATTTTATGGGCCGGCCCGGTGGCGCACTGGATAGTGTGCCGCTTGGGAAGTGCGGCGGTGCTCCCGCCCGAGGGTTCGGATCCCACATACAGACCGGTTCCCGCTCACTGGCTGAGCGGGGCATGGGAGCAACCCCGAGGTTTGCGATCCCGTTGCCGGTCCCCGGTCCGGCACGGGGGCAACACTGCGGGATGCGATCCGTTGCCGGACACGGAAAAAAGACAAAAAAAAACCAAAAAGCACTCAAGATTTTATGGGCCGGCCCGGTGGCGCACTGGATAGTGCGCCGCTTGGGAAGTGCGGCGGTGCTCCCGCCCGAGGGTTCGGATCCCACATACAGACCGGTTCCCGCTCACTGGCTGAGCGGGGCATGGGAGCAACCCCGAGGTTTGCGATCCCGTTGCCGGTCCCCGGTCCGGCACGGGGGCAACACTGAGGGTTGCGATCCGTTGCCGGACACGGAAAAAAGACAAAAAAAAACCAAAAAGCACTCAAGATTTTAAAGGTGAACTTGACTTATACAAGCAGTCACTGTAGTTCATGCAACTTCATCCAGAGACCAGTCCCCAGTTGGCAAGCTCCTCAGTCTGTATTCTTTTTCTCCCCAAAGAAAAATCCTCTTTGCTACTACCCAAATATCCAGTGTCCATCAATAACTATGAGCTGGTTGTCTTCAGTTTCTCTTTTAAGTTACTTAAGTCTTATTTGCTTTATCTTCATCTCCTTTTCCTGCTATTACTTCATCAGCATAGTGGTGCACACATTTTCCCACCAGCCCTCAATGGCATTTTCATATCTATTTTGATTTCTTTCATCTCTTCCAGGAGGATGACTTTCCTCAGGGAGCTATATAATCTTATAGTGGTTGTGTGTCCATGGACTGACCTAGTGGTAGTTGTTCAGAGGAGACACATCGTCAGAAGCCTCTACTTGGCTCCATTCATGTGATTTTATTTTCAGTACTGTTTCAGCCATTTCTTGGGATTACTACAGCATTGAAAATAGGGGTGAATTTTCCTACTCTGGAAATTAAACTTAAGGGTGAGGAAAATAAAACCTGGAAGGTGAGGGAACAAGTGATTATGTGTACTTACTGTGTGCTAGGCACTAAGTCAGACATGGAATAAATGCAGAGATACAGACAACAGTTTCTCTGTGTGTCCTTATCCCTTGGATTTCTGATCTTCTCACTACCTATGTTCTGCACTAAGCTCATATCCTGCAAACAGATATCAAGTTAAACAACCAACCAGAGAGGGTGTGGTGATATTAGGACCTCTAAGTTGTAAATGGCCTTGAGAGTGACAGATTATTTCCTTTAGAAATAATGGTTCTTCCCTCTTAAGGGAATAATGAGTTCTCTGTCTACTAAACCCACTTCAATTATTTGAGAATTGGAAAAAAGTTTAACTTTTTATTTTCTGACTTGTCTGCCTGTCCTTATAGCTTTGGCCCACTTGCCCTCTTTCCGTGTTAGCACCCGGCTTCTTATTCTGTAGTGCCTTGGACAGCAGAGCCATTTTTCAACTCAGCATTCAGCTGGTTTGGATACAGGGTGCACAACTATTTTATATCTTTATCAAAATGAACCCTTCTTTCTTTTAGAGACATCAACAAGCAAGCGAATATCAAAAACTGATGAAGTTTCAGTAATGAATAATTAAAAACCTTTGTAGTATTATCCCTGCCCTTTATTTTGTGGTAAAGGAAATAAGATATAGCTACAAGCTGAGGGGCTGATTTTGTTCTGCTATTTTCGCCCCCACGCCACCCCACTGGGATCAGGAAGGCTTCTCAATTTCATTAATTTAGAAAGGTGTCTTTTACTTGACCCATTTCAAAGATGAGGAAATTACATCTAATAAATTTAGAAAAGCTTCAAAGTTCAACCCTATTCTTTGAATTGTGACAATATTCCTGAGCCTCAAATTCCTACTTTGGAAAATTGACAATGACAATATCTATTGGCCTGTGCTGATAGAAGAGATTAATGATGTGCCATCAGTAATATTTTTACATCATACCTAATATTGAGAAGGTACTGTAAAAAGACTGTACTCTTGATCTTATTTAACTGTGATAATAATCCATCAATGCATCAGTTCTTCTTAGCACAGTAAACATTTTACTGTTTCATCAGGTTTTAGTCTTTACCGTCTTTTCCTACCCTTTCTATTCTCTGCTTAGCTGCAAGATAAATATATCCAAAATGCTTTCCAATTACAAAACTCATCATGGCTGACCATTTTCCCCCCACAGGTGAAGTTTAGACTTTTAAATTTACATTCAGAGCCAATCTATTTTGTTGCCATCTTTTTTCCAATTGCTCCAAATTTGCAACACCACAACCTCACAAAGCTGAAAACATATTTTGTGTATGTTTTAAACATACTTTGTGTTTTTGTGCCAAACATTTCTCCTCAAATTCCCAAACCATTTCACTCCGTTCATTACTTGGAACATCCTACCCTATTTTCAAGGCTAAGTTCAGACATAAACTTGCTCTTTTTTTGTTGTTCTGGTTGGAAAAGGGAGGCATATTTAATAGCCTTTCTGAAAAATTGTGGATGTTCTTTGATAACCACAAAATTTGACAAAGGGTCGTGTGTTTTTTTGGGGACCGTATCTCTAAAAGGTTTTTATTTTTAACTAAAAATAATAATTATATGTACTTATGGGATACAATGTGACATTTTGATTTATATGTATGTTATGGAATGATTAAATCAAGCTAATTAAAATATCCATTACCTGACATACTTATTTTTAAATGGGGAGAACATTTGAAATATTCCTTAGCTGGGGCTGGCCCTGTGGCTCACTCGGGAGAGTGCGGTGCTGATAACACCAAGGCCAAGGGTTCGGATCCCACATAGGGATGGCCGGTTAGCTCACTGGGTGAGCATGGTGCTGACAACACCAAGTCAAGGGTTAAGATCCCCTTACCGGTCATCTTAAAAAAAAAATATTCCTTAGCAATTTTGAAATATTATTACCTTATTATTAACTATAGTTGCCATGCTGTGCAATAGATAGATCTCAAAAAATTATTCTTCCTGTCTATCTGAAACTTTGTGCCTTTTAACGAACATCTCCTCATTCCTCCCTCCCCCTCCAGTCCCTGGTACCCACCATTTTGCTCTCTACTTCAATCAGTTTGACTTTTATAAATCCCGCATGCAAGCAAGATCATTTGTCCTTCTGCGCCTGGCTTATTCCAGTCCCTGGTACCCACCATTTTGCTCTCTACTTCAATCAGTTTGACTTTTATAAATCCCACATGCAAGCAAGATCACTTGTCTTTCTGTGCCTGGCTTACTCAGACTCTCATTCTTAAGTTTTTTACAAATATGAACAGTGAGAATTACTCCTTCTATTGCATTTCCACATTAAAATTTTCTTGTGACACTACTATGCTAACTTCATAACTATATATTCATTAGGTATATAAATGTCTATTTTATTTATGAGATTAATGCCTCATTCAGAAAACAAACCATATCTTATTTATCTTTATATATCATAGTTCCTGGCACCCTCAGAATAGAATAGAATTAGGAAGGTGTGAAAATCTCCTGGTAACATGAATGAAAATCTTTGAGAGTAATCTGATTTATTTTCTTTACGAATAGGAGGGGAGGTTCCAGGTTGTCTGTATGAGGTATGACTACCTCGAACCACTCTGGTGTAAGCCACACAGTCTTCCGCTTGCTGGGCATCCCTGGCCTAGAGGACCAGCATGTGTGGATTTCTATCCCCTTCTTCATTTCTTATGTCATTGCCCTCCTTGGGAACAGCCTGCTCATCTTCATTATCCTCACAAAGCGCAGCCTCCATCAACCCATGTACCTCTTCCTCTGCATGCTGGCTGGAGCAGATGTTGCACTCTCCACATCCACAGTACCACAGGCCTTGGCCATCTTCTGGTTCCATGCTGGGGAGATCTCCCTGGATCGCTGCATCACTCAACTCTTCTTCATCCATTCTACCTTCATCTCTGAGTCAGGGATCTTGCTGGCAATGGCATTTGACCGCTTTATTGCCATATGCTACCCATTGAGATACACCACTATTCTCACAAATACTCTGATTGGGAAAATTGGAGTGACTATCTTTCTCAGAAGTTATGGTACAGTTTTCCCCATAATATTTTTAGTGAAAAGACTGACATTCTGTAAAAGTAATATCCTCTTAAACACTGGTTGTAAGCATATTGTTTTGGCTCATGTTTCCTGTGACGACATCCGAGAAAACATCTGGTATGGTTTATTTGTCCTAATGTCAACGGTTGTCTTGGATATTGTGTTGGTTTTTATTTCCTATGTGCTGATTCTCCGTGCTGTCTTCCACATCCCTTCCCAAGATGCTCGCCGCAAAGCTCTCAACACTTGTGGCTCCCATGTCTGTGTCATCATTCTCTTTTATGGGCCTGGGATCTTTACAACCCTTATTCAGCGGTTTGCACACCACATCACACCCCATATCCATGTCCTGCTGGCCAGTGTCTGCATTCTGGCTCCACCTATGCTGAATCCCATCATTTATGGGGTCAAGACCAAACAGATCCGGGAAGAGATAGTTCATGTGTTGTTTACAAGACAGAAATGACTTTGATTTTGAAAACAGACCTTCTTTTTCCTTAGCAATTTTCTTCGTGATAAGGTGAGCTTTAGCATCAGGATATGGCAGCTGGTGAGGTAGCAGTCAAATGACTCTAGGTGTTGATGTTTCTAGAGCAATTATGTCAATGAGGTTTTGGTGAATGTTTCTTCAAAGCCTCTAATCTGTCACTAAATATAAGTGTCTTCAGGGGCCTAGTTCACTTTCTTACCCATGGAATTGAGAAGTAGGTAAAGCCACCTCCCTAACTCTCTCTGACCTCTATAACTCTGGAGAATTGGATGAGATAAATTTATGCCCTTTCCTGATAATTGCGGAACTATTCTTCCCTAGTATGTTTTATGCTTTGAATAGCCTCATCAAGCTTCGAACCTTCTCCTGCCATTCTCCTCTATGTCCATGTATCTTCAAGTTTTTTCTTCACAGTTCATTGCCAGCCTGTTTACACCATTATTTCTCCAATGTAAAAGTATAACAAAACAAAACATAAATTTAAAAGTAAACCTTGAATTCACATTCACCTACAGCTACTACTTCATTTCTCTTTGTCTTTGAGGAAAGCACCTTGAGTGGTTTGTCTCTGTTCTCACTTTGCTCTTGATCCTACCCTACTTTGACTTTCACCCACACCATGTCACTGAAACTGAACTTGGCAGGGTCACAATAATCTTAAAATTTTTTTTTTTGATATTACCCTTGTCTTTAATCCAACTTGAATATGAAGCATAGAAGCCTAGCAGAAAGCCCCCCCCCCCTTTTTTTGAGGTACATAAACTATATGAACTTTCTTGACCTGTACATGCAAGGTCAGGTTGGA